ATATAGATATAGGTCAAGCATTTTCAACCTTTTGAGACGGAATAGTCAAAACTTATGTCAAAAGTTACAATTTACAAAATTTCCCAATTTTTAAACAGCCACTAAAAATTTTACCTACTCATATTAAATTTCTAAAATGTTTATTGTTACAAATTTATAACTTTAGGTAGACTCTTTAAAATTTAAATATATTCAAATGTTTTAAAAAGGTTGCTCAGAATTCAAAATATGAAATGCGGATTACGCGGAGATCACTTTTTAAACTGAAATTGTTTGAGCTTTATGACGTTCAATTTTAAAATACCGAAACAATTAACAACTAACCGAACACAATAATAGTAATAATAGTATATACCTACGTCCTACCTATTATCATTTTTAATTTGTAAATAATTTATACTATTAATTTTATCAAGGGATTTTAACTTTTTCACATTATTTATATATTATATTTATACCGTGTAAATAATAAATATTATATCTTGTACACTGAAAGTCATTCGGTTAGGTTATTTTGTGATACGGAGCGTCTTTCCGGGACGTCCGTGATCGTGAATAACAATGCGTTGTGTATCGTTATAGTATCGTTTATTATATAATCACTAAATAATGTTTATAATGATCGGGGCAAGTTATCCCGGGCCGCGCGGCAGGCTTGAAGAAGCGGCCGCGGCGGGCGGGTTCGGGCCTGAAGAGGCGCGAGCAAAACAATAGTCGGGATTTGCCTATATGTTTCGTAGAAAGAATACAATAATGATAAGGGAGAGTAGGAACCGTCCGTGCACGGACTCGAGCAAGTCGTGTGGGTTCGGTTCTTCCTCGCGGTGAAACTCGAATAAGCTCACCGTAGGGGGGAACGTGGTATTACTTGTGTCGGCTTGCTGAATCGTCGATTGGCCAAGTTACGTCGCGAAGTCGGTTCCCGGCGTGTCTTGGTATTCGTCCAACGGCGTGACTGGGCTCGATTGAACGGGTGGACTTGACAGTAATGGATCGTCGGAGTATAATTATATTATACGCTGCCGTCGGTGGGTTAATTAGGTCCCGGTGTGGCGGCTATCCGTTGTCGTTGATCGCTGGATGCACACGGTAGGCTTGGCGTCACTGGTCCGTGAAGTGGCGCTTGTTAGCCAGGTATGCCGGGTACTGTTGAGTCTCGGCGGTATCGAGCGATCACGCTAGACCGGTGTGCTCAGGGTGCGTCGTCGTGGACGGGTTAGGTCGAATCAGCTTCGTCGGCGTCGTTCAGGTCGGTGTTGCTGCTGCGTCGTTAGTCTTCGGGTCTTCTGGTCTTCAGGTCTTCTATAGTGCTTGTTGACTTGTAGAAGATATGTTGAAGACTGGTGTTGAAGATGATTTGACCGGTGAACTGTCCCGGTATATATACTATTTGTTTCCCTTTGTTGTCCTGTGATTGGTCGGGAATGGTTGCTTTGATAAGCAATAACCACACCTTGACCCATTGGTGTTCGCTTCGTTAATGTGGTTCTTGCTAGTTATTTCCGTGAAACTTTCCTGTTGGCAAACTACTTATTCTAGTGTGTCGCGTTTATTTCTTGTGTCGCATTATGTTGCCATACTGTTGTGTTTGGTGGTCCTGAAAAGGACCATTTTAATATAGTGGCGGTTTATCCCGTTACATTTGTCTGTACTTATACTTTTTTTTTGTTTAGTGAAACGAGGTAGATTGATTGGTGTTGTTTGGAAGAAAACCACGGTATCTTGTTTTGGCAGATATTGAACCCCACCGTATAATTTCAGCGTCCGTATAAATGTATAATATTATGACGCAGTTCGGCCGTTATCGGTAAATTATAATATTATAATACAATATTATTATATTCCTATTACTACCAGAAAGATTTACTAAAATATATCTACTTTGCTTTATCCGCCAGGTTAACAAAAAAAAACGATGGCATGATTCGACAACGTATACCTACTACCGTACGGTACACCTATATGGTAATGAGTTGCAGCTACCGTGTATTTTACAAATACTGAAGTTATGTTATTATTAAAATACATTTTTAATTCAGTAATGTGGTCCATATGCAGACGCACAAAACGGATTACAGTTCAGACGCAAAAAAAATCACTATTAAACATGATTTTATTCAGATAACGTTACGCACTAATATTTTAATTTATTTGTTTACTTAGGGTGTCCAACCACCCAGCCACCCATCTTCCTTTATTATTTACGTTTCCTATATGCTGCAGTAGGTACATCAGATATCGTGAGTACGATGACGACCAAGGGTTTATGTACCTATGTGTATAAATTATTATAATATTTGATTATATTATGATATTTATACATATTATACATCTACATGATTTTGGTAAACTAATCGTATTATATATATAGTGTGATTCACAAACCATTTTTTTTCATTTGATAACGAATTCATTCAAATTCTGATTTTTAGAATTTTTAAATAATTATATCTAACATTATATTTTTAAATTTTTGAGATTTGTTGTATTAAGGAGTGATCTGTGGTGAGACAAACTTCTATTTTTCAATTTAGTGGACATTTTTTTTGAAAATGTTAATGCTTCTAATTCTAGTTTTCAGTTATTAAAATGTTTATACTAAGGATAAATGTCCTTAAAAATGGTTTTCAAAAATATAAAATAGATGTAATAGGTAATAGAGATATTGGGTAGTGTATTTATAGTTTTAGACAGGAATTTTCATTGGAGGGGGGGATATATATTCATTATGACTAAGATAAATCGCAGGCAGTGCCACGTACCAATGTTATATATAAAAAAATGTCATTGCAGGGATCCATCCTCCATATCACTCTGTAGTCTGTGTTACGCACATGTACTTAGTCAATTCATTCAAATTATGAATGTTGATAACTTAATATTAATTACCAACAATTTCAAATCACCATAGCCCCTATATCCATCAAACCCATTATCATGGATCTTTTATTCTTAGAATACAAAGTTAAATAACTCAAAAACTATGCGTTTGAATTTTTATTTTGATATGTCAACAATTTCAGAAAAATTATTAAAAGAAAATATGTTTTTAATTAAGTATGTTCAAAAATTCTAAAAATCAGTTTTTGAATAACTGCATTATTGTTGGTAAAAATGGGGGGGGGGGTGAGCTTGGATCGTGAATCACACTGTATATTGTATAGTGTAAATAGGCTGACATATTTTTATACATTACTACTAACCATGTGTAATGAAAGTATTATTATTATCAGATCACACGCTCTCCGTCACTTTGTGGGGCCGTAGGTACTGCCACAGGATTACTATTTATTATAATACTTATATAGGGAAATAGGTACGTATTATAAAGACCAGTCTTCGATCGCTTGTGTTTTATATTCGAAACGTGTTTTCCTTTTTGAATACTAAGTATCTGAATTTATATTATACTTCGTCATTCGAAATTCATGTATATAATATACATAGGTACATGCATAATATAATATAAAAATTAAATAGACTGTCGATATGTAGACACTAGACAGACAGACAGACAAGAGTCGAACTACGCGGATGACGTTGAATATCTAATGAAATTTATTGACAACAATACGACATGCAATGTACTATATATTATTCACGTCTACCCAAATGTAATATATATTATATAATACTATATGTTACATTCCACTAAGTTATATATTCTTAAATTCATAAATTCGGAAATTAGTTATATTTAGAAATTACTAATTAGTAATAACAATAATACAATATAGGCAACAATTAAAAAAGTTCTAAGGTAAAATATTAAAAGAAAATATTAAATTAACTAAGTTAAATTAAGTTATAGTCAATTACCACTCCATTAGTAGTTCTCTGTTTATGTTGGGGGGCCTACTCGGGTGTACACATTGGTTTTTTGCAGAATAAAATATTCATCAAATAGGATTGGTTTAAATTTAAAACTATTCATTTTTTTATATAAATTAATTTTTAACAATATAATAAAACCACGAAAAGTCAAGAATTTGCTTAGGGATCTTTAACATGGTATTTTGAATTTTTATCGTTAATCGAAGACCGAAATATCCTCGTATATTTCCCTAAATATTGTGTTTTTGCAATTTTTTTTTGCTGATATTTAGTACGGAATTTGTACGACCTAACGGGAAATTTTTCATAAATCCCTTACAACCAAAAAAAGAATTTTCCTCGTATGCCGTTTCCCCAGCCTCCACCAAACTAAAAATATGTTTTATCACGAAACATTTTATTTATAGGTTTTAAGGTATTAGATTGAATATATACAGAGCCGTGCAGTTACGATTTGGCGCCCGGGGCAAAATTAAAAATATTCGCCCCCCATTTTATTTATCATTAATCATAATGCGTTTCATTCCTATTTAATTTAATTTAATTTTTTTTTTACAACGTACTTTGAACATTAATTTGACAAAAAACTAAAGTTAATTGTAATAGTAATTATTAAACAAAATAGTTAGGTATAATTTATTAATTTATACCGTATTAAATAATTAAAAATGATAAAAATCACAAATTATATTATATATACATGTTATATTTACAAACGTATCATAAGAGCGTATCATATATAAGTATCATATAGTTAAAACTTAATTTTTCTGGACTTTATTGAAGCAAAATCTTTAATGACGTCTTCAAAATCAATGCTTTTTGTTATTTCATGCTCAATTGATAATATTGCAGAATTGGTTAATCTGTTTTGCGACATGGTTGACCGTAAATACGTCTTAGTTAGTTTCAATTTACTAAAAGAGCGTTCCCCGGAAGCGACGGTAACAGGCATGGTAAGAAACAATCTATGTGCAGTCATTAAGTTTGGACAAGTTGAATCAAGTTCATATTTTTTAATTGCGTTTAAAATATTTAAAGCAGTTGCGTTTAAGTCTGGTAAAATTGCTTTTACTTGATATTTAAAAAAATTCGATTTCGTTAATTATTTCCTGGTCAATATCTTCGTTGTATTTGATAGCTAAATCAGCTGCATATTTTTTCAATTATTCAACTGGTGTAACAGATAGTGAATGAGCAGAAAGGAATTGAAAATCAACAGCAATATTTGATAATTGTTCAAACCTCCATTTCATTTGAGCCATCATATTATCAAGAACTTTGTAGTATTCCAATGTTAAAAATTGATCTGCAGAAATATCTTCACCCGATGAATTTTCTCCACTCATAACTTTCCTTTTTATTGTCCTTTTGATTTTTAATTCAGATTTTATTCCAACTTTATCACAAATACTAATAGCTTCAGTTTTAATTTGTTCATTTCCACTATCACGCATTTCTTGGAGAGAAACATTTAAACAATTTATCATTTTTGAAGCCTGATCTATTGAAATATTTGAGCTTTGTAATAATTTATTTACACGATATATTTGATTCAATATTTTATCCCACATGACTAAAAAATAAACAAATTCCAAATCAAACTGTTTCAATATACTTTCTGCATTAGCAACCCCATCGCCAAAAATTGGATTGGTAGATATGTCACGTAAAGTTTTTATCACACCGCCAAATTGACAATACAACGAATGAACTGCATTATATTTAGATGCCCAGCGTATAATAATTTATTATAAAGCCAATAATATAACAAGAATAAAACGTTTGGTTGACTAATTGTTACTCCTCAAACATAGTCAGAAATTTGTTCAGAAAAAATTTGTAATGGTCCAAAATAATTGTAAAACAATAATCTTTCTCATATATTTTATTTATGTAAAGTTTAAAATATTATAAAAAAAAAATGTTTGGCGCCCCTTTAAACCATGCGCCCGGGGCATATGCCCCCTACCCCCCCCCACGGCACGGCTCTGAATATATAATACGAGCGAAGCAACCACATTTTTTTTCAGTTTGGGGGCCTCTTTAAATATTTCTCTGTAACATAAATACTACCTATCCACCCCTGCTTAGGTGTATAGGTAAAAAAATCAAAATAATATTAAAAAAGAAATCAGTAGAAAAAAATATGACTTCGTATTTCCGACATTAAAAATAAAATATCTGTCTTACAATAAATGAATACATATTATATAAAAATCAATTCAGCTATCTGTATTAATACAAACTTAAATAATAATCATATTAAAATAAATCATTAATCAAGTGTTTGTATCTATAAAAATATATTTTTATATTTATTATTTTCAATTTTAGCTTTTCGAGTTTTTCAATTCCAAAATCGTGTATTCAATTAAAATGTTGGAGTGTTGGATATTAAACTATTTTTTTTTAAGGTAAAAATGTCAATGTGGGAGATTATACAGTAAGTATCAGTGATTTTCAGGTAAATAGGTTATTCGTGTAGGAGTTTACATTTGGCTCATTTTTTGTACCTACCACCTTATGATGAAATAGTAAGTATTTATTTATTTATATATTTTATTCCAACTGAAAATATAATTTAATTAGACACATGTCACTCACTATTTTTAATAGGTAGGTAGGTAGTTTAAATTGGTGCACGTGCCCTTCATTGTAGCTAACAACAATAATTATTTTTCGTTTCTTATTACACGATTGAGTGTAATGGTAAACGGAGTATTAACTAGGAGTATCTTAGTTTTTGTATTATTGTTAGTTTAGTTAAGATAAATTATAGTATAACTCCATATGTTGAAAATGTTATGAAAGTTAAACTATCGTTTGCCCCCATACAGCATAACAATATTTCTTAACTATGGTAAAAATATTTTCAGGAAAATAATATAGTTGTCAAAATATTTAAAAAAGTCGCCTATATAATTAGGAAATATTTAGGTTATATTCTTTGGCCAAAAAGTTCATATATTTGAAAATATTTTTATCATATATTTTCAATAAACATTCTTACGGAAACTTTATAAAAATATTAAGTCAACATTTTTCGTATAGTACAATATTTTTTTATCATAAGAAGAAAATACCTATTTATAAAATATTATTAGTCAAATATTCATTATTCAACCACTTTAAAACATTCATAAAATATTATCATTTCCCAAATGCTGTGTGGGTATCAATTAACTGCGTGCCTATAAAAAAAAAATGTTCATAATTTTTTTTTTTTTTGGGAATTATTGTGTTGAAAGACATCTTATATAGTTTTTATGTAATTTAAATCAAGTCCTTAGTCATTAGTTTATTATAGGACAAACTCACTGCAGATATACAGTCTGCTCCATCAACCGATTTTGGTTGAGGCACGCTTGTCTTCGAACAGTCATCGCCAAGTTGCTGCACCGTAGTAATTATATAATATTACATCGACGTGTTTGTGAATAATCATTATACAATACACGTGTATTGTGTATACATAGGCGTACACACGGTGTGGTTTTGGGTTTCAAATATAAACATATTATACGTTATGGGGTTATTGTTTAACAAAACGTAAAACTGTTGTGAACAACAATGGATTTAATAATAATTATATGCTGCAGTGTATTACAACAAACAGTCGGTCGCGCGTAGCTCGCAGGACTTGCATTATACATGCACGATACATTATAATGTTTAACGTGCATTTTATAACATAATAATATTATAGGTATTGCATTATATTATTACATAGTGGTGCTGCCGTAGCTGGGCGAGTGTGTAATGAGTAATGAATTTAGTAGTGTGTGTGTATACCTAAACGTACCTATGTACATATTATATGCATCGATGCGCCAAACATGCACTTCAAGTTTAATGCACTTGAAACGTACGTTTATTTGTTTTAAATTACTACCCTCGAAATCAAAGTCTAGAGTCTAGACACTCCACAGCGAGAGTGTATAGGTACATTATTTAATGATAACAATATACATTGGCGTGATTTAGAGACTTGTTTCGTCGGTGCGTTGGACGTGGGGTGAAGTGGAGAGCACCCAAGGAGATGTACCGTCCTTTGCACGATGCGAAAATAAATTGTCATATTAATTTACTCGAATAAGTATGTAATACTTGCTGGGTGTTATCAATGGATAACTTCCCAATCATATTATTTCACTGTTAATTTTATATTCCTTTATCAAATCTAATTATTATACTATTAACTGTATAGATTGTAGATGTATTTTAATAAAAAAAAAAAAAAAAAAGTATGTAATACTAATTACACTTTTATGATGGATCGAAAAATACAATATGGGAAATGCTGAAGTACCAGCCCACACGACATAACTATAAGTGATCAACTTTAAACGTTTAAAGGGAATATATAATTTATGAACTATATACATCAGCATCAAATTCAATGGATACGAACTTTATGTACAGAAAAGACAATACAAATTATTTATTATGCTTTTACTGGCTCATTTATTAATAATATTTTATTTTGGTAGGCACTAGCTTGCAGTCTTGCTAATAGTACTTTTCTCCAGAAAAACACATTCAGTGTAGGTAAAATTGTTTTCTTTTATAAGTTAAGAATATAATGAGAAAATATTATTACACATTTTGACGGCGTTTGAAGGAATGACAAATATTATTGAAAACAAGATTACAAATAATTGGAATATTTTATGTAAGAGTACAAATGCGCAATAACATAATAAGTAAATACTATCAAAGTCGCTGTTGATAGGACTTAATAAAATTATAAACTGCAATATTATGGGCACGCGTAAATACCTACATTTCTTCTTTGAATATATAATATTATGTAATAAATAATAATAACAGTACTTTAGTTATTGATAGATATGATAGATTGATATGATAGATACCATTTGATTGTTATTTTGTGCGTCGTTCGTGTGATATTACCACGTCTTATTGCGTATTCTCTAATACTGTTGAACTTGTAGTATTATAGTGTTGTAGGGTGTAAAATAGTGCTTTACACTTAAGTTCGTCAGTATTTATCGGTAACGTAGGTAGGTACATATTACATAAGGACTCTTAGTATAACATTTTAAAATATGAGTGAAAGAAAATTTAAAATTGATTTCGTGAATCATAAAAGTGATACCCACTGCATTGTAACATAAATGAATCTATGTGGGTATTAAAAATGTTCAGAATCAGGAAAAAAAATTATTTCCAATAGCAATATAAATGACTATTTTTAAATCAATAATTTTATAATATTGGATAAAAATGCAAAATTAAATAAAATTATTGGACTGGTTTGGTGTTTCCAAATTGCGGACAAAGTGACAAAGACCATGTGATTTGCGGACACAAATATAAGATACTAATTGAGGACAAATTTCCTATTATTATTTTTGATATAGCGATCGTGGACGTTGGGAAATTACTGTTTGATATTAACGATTAAGATTGTGCCGGTGCTTTTGAAACCGCTGCCTATGTTTAATCAGTTTATGGACAACCATACTCGCTTACTGTTCATTTGATGTTCGTTTATTTTCTGTATAAGAATGTATAGTGAAAAATTTAAAGAGTTACATGTGAGATGTGATTGACGGGTTTAAGTTACGTTTTCATAAAATAATTAAAAATGAAATTCAACGGTGGGCGTGTACAAATAAAAGGTGTAATGCGTTTTTAAAATTGAATCACCCTAATATATATCAATTGATCGAGGCCTTAAATGAAGTACAGACTAGTAGCTATATGGAAACGAATTGTTCTGCTGTACGAAATTTAAAACGAGCAAAAAAAATTATTGAAAAGAAGGCATTTATTAGCAAACAAATGTTGCAATATTCACGTGGTGAAATCAGTAGAATATCATATATACAGGCTGTTTCAAAAAAATTTTAACCACTAAATGACGATAAATAATGACGATAATCTATAAATATTTTATAAACAATTTTTTCCACAAAATTAAAACAATAAATAATTCAACAACATTTTAAAAATAACGATTGCTCTTTTGCAAGACATAAATATTTTTAACCCCACCTACCATTTTTTTTGGTAGCTTGTCCTAAGTCCTGAAAAAGTGGCGAAGGGAAATATTTGTGTCCACAAATAACGTGGTTTTTATTAAAAAATGCTCTGTACGCAATTAGTATTAACTATTATGACAACGAAACTCGTGCCGCAATTGTTATGTTATAATTCCTGACATAAATAATTCGTCCACAACTAGTATGTGTCCGACTGGTTTATGCCGGAATTATAAACATAGGTATATTAATAAAATATACTACCTATACCCATCATATAGATACCTATTAAAGTTATATTATAAAAAAAATTCTACAAAATTCAATTAAATAATTTTGTAGTGGACAATTCATAAAATGTTAATACTTAAGGCTCGAAATTTATATTATTTTATTATATGTATATGTCGTAGTTACTTAACTTACTAGTTTTTAAGTTATTTATTTGTGGCACATTTAATGTGCCTGTAAAAAAAAACAATGTACCTAATAGTTTTGAATTAAAGGTAAAATGAAATGTGACAGCCGTTATCAATCGCCATGGCTCACTGACCTACTAAACA